AAACTATAAGACTTTGATGAAGGAAATTAAAGACAACACAAATGGAAAAATATACCATGCTCATGAACTGGAAGAATATTTGAAAAATGTAGATACTACCTAAAGCAACCTATAGATTCAATGCAATTCTTACCAAAATACCAGTGACATATTTACCAAACCCAGAACAAATAATCATAAAATTTGTATGGAACCAATGAATCATAGAACACTACATCAAAAACTAATGATGTACTGTATGGTGACTAACATAACTTAATAAAAAAGTTATTTAAAAAATAAAAAAATAAAATTTTTATGGAACCACAAAAGCCCCCAAATAAGCCAAAGTAATCTTGAGAAAAAGAACAAAGGTGGAGGCATTATGCCTCTTGATTTCAAACTATACTACAAAGCTAAAATAATCAAAACAGTATAGTACTGATATGAAAACAAACACATAGATCAAAGGAATAGAGAGCCCAGAAATAAACACACTAGACAGCTACATGCAAAAGAATGAAACTGGACCACTATCTTATACCATATACAAAAATAAATTCAAAAGGGATTAAAGACTTGAATATAAGATCTGAAACCATAAAGCTCCTTAAAGAAAACATAGGTCATAAGCTCTTTGATATTAGCCTTAGCAATATTTTTTGGACCTTTCCTTAGGCAAGGGCAACAAAAGCTTATATAAACAAATGGTATTACATCTAACTAAAAAATACTGCACAGCAAAGGAAACTATCAACAAAACAAAAAAGCAACATACTGAATGGGAAAAGATTTACAAATCATACATCTAGTAAGAGGTTAATGTCCAAAATACATAAAGAAGTTACACAACAATATCAAAACACAAACAACCCGATTAAAATGTGACAGAGGACTTGAATACACATTTTTCCAAAGACATGCAAATGGCCAACACATATGTGAGAACATGCTCAACATTACTAATCATCAAGGAAATGCAAATCAAAGCTACAATGTGATATTAGCTGATACCCATTAGATAGTCTATTATCAAAAAGACAAAAAATAATGTGTTGGGGACAATATAGAGAAAAGGGAATTCTTATCCACTGTTGGTGGGAATGCAAATTGGTGTAGGGACTATGGAAAAAAATAGGTTCTTGAAAGAATTAAAACTACAACTACAATATGATTCAGCAATTCCAATTGTGGTTTTTCTATCCAAATAAAACAAAAATATTAATTTAAAGAGATATATGCACCCCTATGTTCATTACAGCATTATTTATGATAGCCAAAATATGGAACAACTTAAGTGTCCCTCAATAGATGAATGGATAAAGAAGATGTGGTATACAAATATACAAGGGACTATTACTCAGCCATAAAAAATGCAATCTTGCTATATGCAACAACATGGATGAACCTAGAGAGTATTATCTTTTTTTTTTTTAGATTTTATTTATTTATTTGAGAGAGAGAGAATGAGAGACAGAGAGCACGAGAGGGAAGAGGGCACAAGAGGGAAGAGGGCAGAGGGAGAAGCAGACCCCCTGCTGAGCAGGGAGCCTGATGCGGGACTCGATCCAGGGACTCCAGGATCATGACCTGAGCCGAAGGCAGTCG